CCCTAGCACCCCCTGGCATAACAAGGAATAACAGCCACAAGTTGCTAGAGAGTAGGTTTAGATTAGACATCTGTAAGAACTACTTCACAGTCAGGGCGGCTAGTATCTGGAACTAACTTTCAAGGGAAGTGGTGCTGGCTCCTACCCTGGGGGTCTTTAAGAGGAGGCTTGATGCCTACTTAGCGGGGATCATCTGAGCCGTTTTTTCTCCTGCCCTGGCAGGGGGTCGGACTTGAACATCTATAAGGTCCCTTCTGACCTTACTTCTATGATTCTACGAGATCAGATCCAAACTTCCCTAGCATAGGACTGTCCACATCTGGGGTATTTGATTAGTCCCACCGTAGTTAGGAGCTAACTCCTCCACAGAAAAAGATTACGTGTGCTCATGAGTGCCAAATACTTCCTAAAGCACGTGTCAAACTCACCTCAGGCTGGATCCAGACTGCAGGGGCTACTCGGGCCAGACGTACAGGGCCAGGAGACTGGTGAGGCCACATTCAGGCACGTATCAGTGTGAAGCAAAGGGTGTCCACCCATGTGGGACTGGCTGGACAGCAGTGTAGAGCCAGGGGCATGAAGCAATGTGGAGGAGAGCATATGACAGTGCAGGGCTTTGGCACAGAGGACCAGGCATGCAACAGCACTGAGTTGTATTTGGGCAGCATGGGGCTGGAAGCATGTATCAGCACGATTTGGGCAGTAAGAGAGCTGAGTGGGGAAGGGGCAGGCCATGTCCATTGAAAGCCAGCACCCCAAAGTCTGTGGCAGGCCAGATAAAATAGTTCCACAGGCCAGGCTGCATGTTTGATACCAAGTTTAACTACATGGATTATTTCAAGAGCAAACTGCACAACCCATCACATAAGTTTATAGCATTAATTAATGCACCATTAAATGAAAGATCCAGTTCCATTAGACAGAGCTATATCTGGGTTCCATCCTCACAATATTATCTTCATTGCATGAGGTATTCAGATAACATGCTCAAATAATACCCTTCAATATATTAAGGATTAGCACCCAGTTCTAATCATTTTAGCTTAAAATAATGTAAAACTGCTGGTTGACAAACAGCTCAAACTAAACAGTGACACAGCAGAAGGCTGTTTTAGAGACCCAGTGGTTTAATTCCCAAACAGTCTAACTGGACCTAAAAGTAACTGTGGGCAGGATTTTTGTTTGTTTCTAGCCTAAACTTCAGCCTTCACATTTCCTCTTCCAGCCTCCTCTAAATAAGCATATACTTTAGTCTCATTTAAGAACTGCCATAGAGAAACACTGAAGAAACTGCTCTAATAAGATTCAAGTTACTTTAAAGCTAATAAGTTATTTACATGATTCTATAAGTCAAGTTCTTCCTTCTCACCAAAAGATCCCAGTGTGACAGAAATCCAGCTTGCTGTATATGCTCTCAGTTCGCCGGTGAAATGTATGTGTTCTCTCTCACATTGCCTCATACAGCAATCAAAGGAGGATGATCATCATTGAGCATTAGCAAAGCTTTACATCTGATGTGTAAGGTCTACATATGGAACCCAGCACAATCAAGTGAGCTACAATTGCCCTATTAAGTCATCCAAAACTCTGCACATAATCACAATAAATATACTTTAATAAATGAAAAGTAGTATTTTCTAAACACATCAGAAGAAGTCAGTCACCACAGTGAATTTTGTCCAAAAGACACTTCTTTATTTTATCCAAGGTAAATTACGCCATGAATTCATAGGGAATTGGTTCCAGCAGCTCAGGCTCTTTACCGTTGGTTCTCACGAAGTGTGCTTCCCTGGGTGGGGCAGGCTGTAATAAAAAAGATACATTAATGTAGTAACACTTGAGAAACTAGTTCCCATGGAAACCAGTTCCCATTCCATCACAGCTGCACTGCCATTTAAGACCTCATGAAAAAAGAAACTATTAAAATCAAACACCATTTCCAAATCTCAGTACTTGCAAAATTATGTCCAGTTGCCTTTCACTCCAACAGCAATGGTCTCTGATCCTAAAACTGATTTTTGTAGATACCTAGTTAGCATATGAAAATAGTGCTATTAAATTTTCCTTGGAGATCTGAAAGCAACACAGCTATACACTTCTCTCCCGCAAAGGTCTCCCACTATACCCTCAGACACTGAAAATGTATTTAAAGTTTCTTCCAGTTAGCATAAGACACCACTAATTGATTTGCACCCATCTTTTAATACTGCCTCAGGGAATCAGACAATCACCTCCCCCCACATTATAGAAGTAGTTTCTAGATTTCAAGCATAAAAGGTGTACTACTAATTCAGATGACAATAAACATGGTACCTGGCGTTTTAGTTCAACCCAAGTGCCCTTTTCCTTTGCTTCCTTCTTCTTCCTTTCATTTTCCTTCACACGCTGCAGGAAGCTGTCTCTGCTTTTGGAATGTTTAATATGCTCAATGCGCACATTAATTTTCTTGGCAAGAATCTTGCCCCTGAAAGAATAAGCTTTTTTTAATTGACTGTACTTTCAAAAACATTAATACAAGTTCCATGATGCAGCTTTTACATTAAAATAAACAATTCCAGAAAGCAGTACTATACATGAATTTTCCTTAAAATATCCGTTTCCTAAGAAATACTGAACTATATAAAGGTAGTGAATTAAATGCAAGTATAGCAAAGCATATTTGCACATGGCTACCTGTTCTGATGTTTAAGGAATAAGACTCCCAAGACAAGGGATTTTCTACCTCGCAAGTGAACGGGGCTACTTGTCCATCATTACTGAAAACCACTATTTGAGGAGCAAACTACATATCATACTGACTACACAGCCTTATGCCCCATTGAGTAAATTTAAAACATGTTTTTTTTCAAATTAATTCAGTAAAAATACACTAAGCAGTCGAAACCTCATTTTACATGATTCTGATTGACACTGTTGCTCAAGAGTCAAAGCTGTTTCCTCTGACAGGATCCAAGTTAAACAATACTTGTTTACCTGGGTTTTAAAAGGACATTTGTTTTACCCCCCTTGAATGACCAATGAAGACGAGATGTCTGACTGGCAAAGTGAAAGAGGGGAAGTCACTACTGATCAATTAACAAAATCAAGTTCCACGTGAATAGAAAGACTGAGATACTTACTTAACCTGCTTGTTTACAATAATGCCAACAGCATGCTGTGTAATATTATAGACCCGTCCAGTCTTGCCATGGTAGCATTTGTGAGGCATGCCTTGCTGAACAGTACCCATGCCCTGTTGAAAGAAAAAGACTGCCAGAATAAGAACCCTAAGACAGAATAAAAACTATAGTATACTACAGGTTAAAACTGAGTACAGAGTAGAAATTTGTAAAATCCAAATAATTTTAAGTATGACAGGTTTTTCCCCCAAAAGTTTTATTACTGGAGAGACACAAAATGAACTAATTGAGTGGTTTATCAAGTTATCTTTAGTTTACTGGTATCCTGGGAAACACATTACTCACATTTTAAAACTATAACAACTTCTTTGACAATACTGGTTTGCTTTCAGTGCCGGTGAAATGATTTGCTCATTTTGCTCTAACTAGAGCAATCATAGGAGACAGTCATCCTCAAGCCCCAGAATGTCAAGGTAACAGATCTAGAACAGGGCAATTTGCCACCATGCTCAATTTAGAGTGATTTGGCCTTTCACTTGTTTGCTTTGTGTCAGAAGAGAGGCCAGCTGAGAGATGGATGGATGAACTGAATCTGTAGAGAATGTTATTTCATTTTTAATTACGCTACAGTGTAAAACATACCTTAATGTCCACGATATCACCCTTCTTGTAGATTCGCATGTAAGTGGCCAGAGGGACAACTCCTATGGAATGAAACGCAGCAAATGGTCTTACAAGACAACCACACTGTTACTAGAAGCGAGTGTTCAGAAAATACTAAACACCACTAATACATTTTCACCTGGCTGTGAGAACCAAGTCATATTTTCACATGAAAACCAGCAATTTAAGCAATAACAGCCAACTGACAAGTTACAACATAAACCAACCATTAATGTAGATAAACCACGCTGCATTAAAATTTGGTTGCTCACAATAAAAAAAATACCTGCTGCCTAGCTCCATTAATTTAACACACCAGTGCTGCTAGCATGTCCTTCCATTTTTGCGCTAAAAATCAGCTCAAATTTTAAAATTAAGTTATTTTGCTTACGTTCTAACACTGAGACACAAAAAGCTATTATCTGCTAGCCATACTTTCATATCGACCCTGCCCTTCTTCACTTTGTGCCCAAAAGCTAGACCAATGTCTCCCAACTATACAGGTGATCATATTTTATATATATATAACAAATATTTGCCACTTTGAAGCCAGTGCATACACCAACACATATACATTTTCAGTTTGTTAGGTCTCTGCATAAACAGGATGGTTTTCATTGATTTTTAGGGTCAGAAGGGACCTCAACAGATCCTCCAGTCAGACTCCCTCCCCTGGGCAGGAAACAGCACTGGCATCAGACGACCCCAGCCAGATGCTTGTCTAATTAGATGTTAGCCAAACTCTAGATGGAAGTGGCTAGTACAGGGCCACAACGTGGTGCCTAACTTGGCCCCAGGAACCCGCTGAGGAGCAGGAGGCCAGACCCTTCCCCGCCCTGCTAGGCTTCCCTCACATCTGGCAGCAGGGGGTGGCAATCAACGCTGCTGCCGGATGTCCAGACCTGCGGGAGCAGTCGGCTGGAGGAAACCCAGTCTGGCGGCACTCACCATGCTTGCGGAAGGGCCTGGAGAACATGTAGCGGGTCCCGCGCCTCTTGCCCTTGGTGTTCGTCATCCTGGCGAGTCACTGCGGGGACGAGAGTGTTGCAGCGTGAGCAGAGCCGGGCGCTCCTCTTTCCCCGGGGAGAAGTCCGCGGCCGCGTCCCGCCAGACCCGGGCCCGATTCGTCGGGGCCCTCACAGCGCCGCAACCCCCAACCCCCGCGTGGCGGCTCCTCCCGGCCCCCACCCCGCGGCCCCAGCGTCGCTCCCCCACACACGGCCCCCGGCCCAGCGGGAGCACGCGGCGTCCCACTCACCTCCAAAATGGCGGCTCAGGCCGAAAGGGGGGAGGCGGGCCCCGGGCCGCCCTTAACACGGGGGCTTCGGCAGGGCTGCCCGGCTACCGCCTGACTACAAGGTCACAGGGCAGACGCCTCGAGCGTTGGGGACTTCGCACGTTCGGCTGTCGGGGGCGTGCCCAGCTTGCGGCGCATGAGTTACGGGCGGAGACTTCCCGCGGGCAGGCAGCTGTGCGGACACCCAAGGACGGCAGGAGAGGGGTCTTGAGGGTCACGTGACACCGAGGGGTCCAGGTGGGGGCTGGGCAGGAAGATGCACCGCCCTTCTTTTGGGGGACGTCGCATAGTGACGTGTGTAGCCGCCTGTAGCACACTATGGGGTCGGGGTGGGCGGGACAGAGTGGTGTCCTGCACAGGGGCCTGTTCACGGCAACACGTGCTCAGTGCAACTCCCAC